GGAAAGGCGGGGGGGGGGGTATTAGCCTGTTAACACAACTGAAGCAGCTTGCAGGTAGAAGCATAATGTAAAGCGGGTTGAATCGCAATCCGCAAAGGTCAATGATTTCGCCTTTTACTGAAGTTTTCCGTGTGGGGGGTGCAATGCAATGTGCACATATAGACAGTCTTACAGCGCCTCGTTCTCGGGGCGGTTACAGTGAAGGAGAAAGTCATCCTGACAGACCCTGTACGCCAAATAAGCAAACATAGCTGGAGCAATAACATGAAGGACTTTACAGCATAACCGCCCTTCCTTCGCCCAATTAGCAGTTGTAAGTATGTAACCTAATAAAAGCACGCCTACTGATAGGAAGCAAGTACGTCAACAATGTTGACTTATAACCACAGGCTACTCGCATTTGTCTCGTCCCGATTTTTACTGGCACCCATTCGGATGTAGTGGCACCAACGCTGACTTTTTGGAGCCTGCATGACAGGAAACTTTTAATCCAGTTAAAAATTCTGCCCTGTATTCTACACTCCCAAATCTTCTGTAGGAGTCGTCCATGAGGAACGCTATCAAACGCCTTCTTAAAGTCAAAGAAGATGACGTCCACTGGACGGCCCTGGTCTATGACTCTTGTCCACTTTTCCTGAGAGTAAAGACTGCTTATAAGACAGGAGTGACCACGCCGAAATGCGTGCTGAACAGCACATAACAGGTCCCTCTGCTCCGGATACGACATTCAATGCCCCTTAATAAGTCGTTCCATTACCTTGCATAGAATGCAGGTTAAACTAATAGGACGGTAATTTTCGGGCTCCAGTCTGCATCCTCCTATATAGATTGGAGAAATATGAGCCGCTTTCCACTCCTCCGGCAATTCGCCTTCGTCCATGGACTTTCGAAATATCATGGACACCGGCTAACAGAGTACATCAGCTAATTCTCGGAGGACAAGTGGATGAATTCCATCCGGACCAGGTGATTTGGCAGGTTTCAGCCGGCGTAGTTCGGTCCTTATCAACGTGGGTGAGAAGAAAAGATTGTCTTCCAATGCAGGACGGTCTACATAAGGCATGGCAGGAGGGTTTGTGTCATGAGTGAATACCGACTGAGAGAAATTGGAGAAGGCTGATGCTTTCAGATGGTCATCTGTCTCAGTTACACCGTTTTGGGATCTTAGCGCTGGAATCGGTTCACGATTGCTCTGTCCATTACGTATGCAACTATAGAGGATTTTAGGATACTACAAGGAATTTGTAATAAGCATAGCTCATAGATGCCTTGAAGTTTATGAGCCTCGCGTTTACACGCATTCCGCTGTCGCATGTATTCCTTCAGATCTTCAGGACTGTCTGTTTGTCGATAGCGTCTCCCTACTAGGAGATGTGAGGCCTTTGGTTCATTTGCAAGAATAATTTTAAGAGGCCTTGGTAATGCACTCGACGCATCTGCGTTTCTTAGACTGAAAGTTTTGTGCACGGTAACAAATTATCCGCCCAGAAGGAGGGCATTTGAATATGTTTGGAAGAGGTTGAGATCGTGTTCGATTCTTTCTTTTGCAGTCGACGAACTGGACTCAGGAGCTCACTTTATGACGATGTTTCGTTCTCGGTAGAGATGCCTGTTTGGAAGAGAGTCCCTACGTCCCCAGCATTCCCCGCGTGTTTTCTGCTATTTGAACTCCACTTTCATCTTGCCCTGTTTCATTTCCGACAAAAAAGAAGTGCGCAAACTTGGAGTAAATCTATCCGAATGGGCTCCCTCAGGCACGCTCCAAAGTTTCCTATAAAAATTTCAGCTAAAATCCATCAACTACCGCTTCATATTAACAAACCGCTAACAGGCAGCCAGTAGTATAGAACTGTGCAAATGGTTTACCGTACTAACAACACAGGTATTAGCTAAAAGCCCAGACACGCGTCTTTCGCCCATCTTATGCCGCTGCCTGACGCAGCTGCCAGGGCTTCGGCTCGACAGTCGGTCCCCCAGCGTTCCCCGTCTCTTTTATGCTATATGAACTCCAGTTGCAACTTGACTTATATCATCTCCGAGAAAATGAATGCGCGTACTCACAGTAAATCATTCGAAACAGGCGTTTTCAAGCACGCTGAAATGTTCGGTATGAATATCTGAACAGAAATATAGCAGCTAGTGCGGAAATACCGCTTAAAATTCACAAACCTCCAACAGGCAGCCAGTATAATAGAACTGTGCAATGGTTTACCGTACTAACAACACAGGTATTAGCTAAAAGCCCAGACACGCGTCTTTCGCACATCTTATGCCGCTGCCTGACGCAGCTGACAGGGCTTCGGCGCGTCAGTCTCTCCCCCAACATTCCCCATCTGTTTTCTGCCATACGAACTCCAGTTTCAACTTGCCTTCTTTCATTTCCGAGGCAATGAATGCGCGATCATAGAGTAAATCTTCCCAAACGGGCATTTTCAGGCACGCTCCAAAGTTTGTTATGAATATTTGAACTGAAATCCATCAGCAACCGCTTAATATTCACAAACCGCAAATATGCGTCCAGCATCGCATTAGTGCGCAATTAAAGTGAACCCCAGGTAAGCTGAATGTTGCCTTGTTTCTTTGCCTGCAATGAGCTATCTCAACTTCTACACAACCTTCCCATTGCCCTTTCCGCCTCTGCGCTATCGACATCCCTTTTGTGTCGACTGCGGGACACCGTAAATTCAACTGCGCTAGACGTTCTCGTTTGTGCACGCCGCCAACATTATCATCGACTGCGCAAGCTGCAGGACGCCTGGACTGCTCGAAAAGCTGAGGAGATCCAAGGCTATGCGGACTGCAACGAATGGAAGAACTTCTTCTCCGCGATCAAAGCTGTCTACGGTCCGCCGACGAAGGGCACTGCTCCTCTCCTCAGTGCCGACGGCAGCACTCTCCTTACTGAGAAGACACAAATCCTACAGCGATGGGCCGAGCACTTCCGAGGCGTCCTCAACCATCCCCCCGCCATCTCCGACGTCGCCGTCGAGCGCTTGCCGCAAGTGGCGACCAACGTGGACCTCGACCTCCCGCCATCTCTCCAGGAGACCATCAGGGCCGTGCAGATACTCTCCGGCGGGAAAGCACCCGGATCGGACGCAATCCCTGTTGAGGTCTACAAGCACGGATGTCCCCAACTAATGGATCACCTGACTGCGCTCTTCCAGGAGATGTGGCGTCAAGGTGAAGTCCCGCAAGATTTCAAAGACGTAAAAATCGTGCCCCTATACAAGCGAAAAGGGAATCGCCCAGTCAGCGACAATCACCGCGGCATCTCCCTACTGAACATCGCCGGAAAGATCTTCGCTCGCATCCTGCTCAACCGCCTCAATAACCATCTGGAGCAGGGCCTTCTGCCGGAAAGCCAATGCGGCTTCCGTCGTCATCGTGGGACCACGGATATGATCTTCGCCGCCCGCCAACTTCAGGAGAAGTGCCAGGAGATGCGGACCCATCTGTACTCTACTTTCGTGGACCTGACAAAAGCCTTCGACACGGTGAATCGTGAAGGACTGTGGAAGATCATGCAGAAATTCGGCTGTCCGGAGCGATTCATTCAGATGGTGCGTCAGCAGCACGACGGTATGATGGCGCGAGTCACGAACAACGGAGCTGTCTCAGAGGCATTCGCAGTGACCAACGGAGTGAAGCACGGCTGTGTGCTGGCACCAACCCTCTTCAGTCTTATGTTCTCTGCCATGCTGATGGACGCCTACCGCGACGAACGCCCTGGAATCCGCATCGCCTACAGAACGGACGGTCATCTCCTGAATCACCGGCGCATGAACTTCCAATCGCGTGTATCCACAGCCACCGTGCACGAACTCCTCTTCGCCGACGACTGCGCCCTGAACACCACCTCGGAAGAGGAGATGCAACGCAGCATGGACCTATTCTCCGCCGCCTGCGAGAACTTAGGTCTGGTCATCAACACGCAGAAGACGGTGGTGATGCACCAACCGCCGCCCAACTCAGCCACAGGCCCCAACGCACCGCCGCAAATCAGCGTGAACGGAAATCAACTGCAAGTGGTGGAGAACTTCCCGTATCTGGGCAGTACCCTTTCCCGCAACACCAAGATTGATGACGAAGTCGCCAACAGGACTTCGAAAACCAGTCAAGCCTTCGGTCGCCTCCAAAGCACAGTTTGGAATCTTCACGGTCTCCAACTGCGCACGAAGCTGAAGATATACAAGACCGTCATCCTGCCGACGCTGCCGTACGGAGCGGAGACTTGGACGGTGTACACAAAGCAGGCACGCCGACTGAACCACTTCCACCTCAGTTGTCTCCGTCGCATCCTGAGGCTGAGCTGGAAGGCCGAATCCGCTACACCGATGTGCTGAAACGGACGGGAATCCTCAGCAACTAAATCACACTGAGACAAATGCAGCTGCGTTGGAGCGGCCAACTAGTGCGCATGTACGACGAGCGACTACCAAAACGACTCTACTACGGAGACGTCGCACGGGCTCTCGCCGTCAAGAAGGCCAAATTCGCCGTTACAAGGATACCTTGAAGTCCTCCCTGAAGCGCGTGCAAATCAACATGGCCAACTGGGAAGAGCTCGCCCGTGATCGTCCGACATGGAGGAGAGCAGTGAAGACGGGCACTGCTATCCACGAAGCCAACCGAATCGCCGCCGCCAAAGTGAAACGTGAAGCCCGCAAATTACCATCTCGCCCAGTACGTAACGCTGCCGCACAACCGCTCTCTACGTGTCCTCGATGTCAACGGACATTCTGGGCACGAATCGGACTTGTTGGACATCTTCGGATCAACTGCACCTCTCGAACTGCTCCAGCCATCGTCCCCCCGCCCGCCTCTTCCTCGTCCTCTCTGCCGCCAAATAACTCTGACTCTCCTTCTGCATCACCACTTCCATCCCCCTCCTTCTACTCCACTGCCCAAGCGGCGGCCGTTCAGACTGCCGTCTCACACATCACCAACCCCGACACAATAACCAACATCACCTCCACCTCTCCCGCTTCCAGTGATGAGGATCAGTACTACACCTGCACTCACTGCGACCGCACCTTCACCTCTCGCATCGGCCTGGTCGGTCACTTGCGAATCCATCGCACAGAGACTGGCGAACAAGTGCCTGGAGCACCAACCTACACTCACCGCACTCGCCTCCACTGCCCACACTGCCCTCGCAGCTTTAGGCATCGCATGGGTCTATTAGGCCACATGCGCATCCACGAGAGCGGAATTGACCGCAGCCTTGACACATCCACCCCGCCGAGCCCCACTCCCAATCAATCCCCTTGTGCACCCACTAACCACTCCCCAGCCGACATCGACGCCACCGTCCTTACCACCCCTCACTCCTCCCCTTCCTCCTCCTCTTCCGCCTTCACTGCCACAACGACGGACGCTTCGGCGTCTGTCGCCCACGACTTTACCACAGCCGAACCTGACACAACAACAGGCACAACCCCTGCAGCCTCCATCATCAGACGTGAGGGTCAGGACTACATCTGCCCTCACTGCAATCGCACCTTCACTTCACGCATCGGCCTGGTCGGTCACTTGCGAATCCATCGCACAGAGACTGGCGAACCAGTGCCTGGAGCACCAACCTACACCCACCGCACTCGCCTCCACTGCCCACACTGCCCTCGCACCTTCACGCATCGCATGGGTCTATTCGGCCACATGCGCATCCACGAAGACCTGCGGTAGACAACCGCCGGTCACACCACAGATTCCCTCACCCCCTACTTCCTAACACCATCACCCCACCAGTCATCAACCCTCACACACCTCATGCACTCAACTGCCGCCTCCCACGCAAGTGGGAAGTGTGCATCTCGACTCGGTCCCCATGCGGCTTCGGCTGCACGGGTGACTTGAGTCCGAGACTATCCCGACACGTCAAGTGTCGTGGATAGGAAGGTTGCTGATTGAGGCCCGCTCTCGGTTCACGCAGTTCGTCATGTTGTGTGTGTGTTGTGTGGAGTGGCGGACTGGTGGGCTGAGGACGGGCTGCAACAGCACCTTCCACGGCAATCTCACGCAAGTGAGAGACACGCCGTCCAACCCCCGTTGTGTGAAATCCTGGTGTTTGTGTGTGTATGGGCAGCCAGGTCGTGCTGTGGCGCGCGCAGGCATGGTCAGACGACCATGTCAGCCACCGCGCCCATTCCCCACTCCAGTCTACTGACCGGCTCGGACAGTGGCTGGTGTGTGGGAATGGGAAGGGAGAGTGAGGTCGACGACTCAGCGCATTTTCCTCACTATAATCAATCTGACGCGCTTGAAGCTATCACGGTGCGCTAAAAGACGTGGCTTGGAAGGTTGCCAACTGACGGGGTACCTTGGACCTCCTCCTTAACGGGAGGCGGTCTGAGAGTCAGGCTGCAATGGCTCCTTTTTAATGTGGCATTTATGGCATTCCCACCACAGTGTGGGATCCGAGCCAGGCGTTGGCGGCACGCCTAGGTGCGGTTTCGGCCGTGCCAGCCTCCAAATCTCTGTTGTGTTGGTTGAAATCCTGGTCTTGGTGTGTGGACCAGGGGTGCGGAGTGGAGCGCCAAGGCGAAGACCCGTCCGAGCCATCCACCTGCGGCCTCCCCCGTCTCCGGTCTTCTTGACTCTGTCTTGACACCGGGCCCAGGCGGGGGAGGAGGAGAGAGTGTAGGTAGATGCTACGCAAGTGTACTGGCACTATAAACCCCTGGGTAAGTCACCGTCCCTGCTCCCACAATGCAGTCTGTGGGGCACACGGTGGTCATCGTCGAAATCGACGGACGAACTGTCGTGTGTGTGTGTGTGTTATGTGCAGTGGCGGACTGGTGGGCTGGGGACGGGGTGCAACAGCACCTTCCACGGCACTCTCACGCAAATGAGAGACACGCCGTTCAACCCCCTGGTGTTTGTGTGTATGGGGGGCCAGATCGTGCTGTTGGCGCGCACAGGCAAGGTCAGACGACCATGCCAGCCGCCTCGCCCATTCCCCACTCCAGTTACTGACCGGCTCGGACGGTGGCTGGTGTGTGGGAATGGGAAGAGAGAGTGAGGTCGACGACTCAGCGCACTTTGTCCTCACTGTAAACAGTCTGACGTGCTTGATGTTATCTCGGCCCGCTAAAAACCGTGGCTTGGATGGTTGCCAACTGACGGGATATCTTGGACCTCCACCTCGACTTGAGGAGTTCTGAGGTTCGGGCTGCAATGGCTCCTTTTTAATGTGGCCTTTATGGCACTCCTACCACTGTGTGGGATCCGGGCCATGCGCTGGTGGCACGCCCAGGTGCGGCCTCGGCCGCGCCAGCATCCAACCTCTGATGTGTTGGTCAAAATACTTGATATGTGTTGTGTGGAGCAGGCAGTGTGGTGGAACATCAAGGTGAGGATCCGTCCGAGCCATCCATCTGCGGCCTCCCTCGTCTCCGTTCTTCTTGACTCTGTCTTGACTGCGGACTCAGGCGAAGGAGGAGGAGGGAGTGTAGGTAGATGCAGCGCAAGAATACTGGCACTATAAACCGCTTCGCAAGTCACCGTCCCTGCTCCCATTGCTGCTGCAACAGTGAGGCACACGATGGACATCATCGAAACCGATGGTCGAACTGGCATGTGTTTGTGTGTCAGGAGGCGTCAAGGGATGACGCAAAATTCCTTGTGGGACTGCAGTGTAGATCGAGACCCCCTCCGCTTTTAATCTGTAGTTCTAATGCTAATCGGTGCACCTATTCTTCTGCTAGGCTTCTTGTGGCTGACACCTGGTTTGTGATTGATGCGCGACGAACGCATATTCGATCGCAGTCCGTGGACGTAGATTCCGCATGTGGCCGAACGCGGACAGTGGCGTCCCTAGATGATATTTTGATATTTATGAAAATAGAATGTCACTGGAATTACTTAAACATTGCAGGCTGTTGGAATGGATCAGGATACAGGGCGGAGACTTTCACAGCACCAGGCGGATCAGCTGATATCAGCAACGACTTAACATCTCGGACCTCGTTGTCGAAGAAACCACAGCAGTCGCTCGAAAGATAGATGGAGCTGCAAGCATTCGCATGTAAACTTCTGCGTTTCTTGATGTTCCTTCTTTGATCCGCATGTTAAGAAATAAACTAATTGCAATGCAACCTGTTTTGACGTTTTTTTGAAAACGTTGAATGGTGTGGAGTGCCCTACAACTAAGGCGACCGATTAATAACGTTTTTATCTCTGAAAGGAATGAAATGAATGAATCAGTTATTTTTTACGAGCGAGATGCTCATTTTGTCGAACTAATGCATGGCTTAGGGGAGAAATCATTGTCGCCAGCCGATATGATACTTGAGAACAATTAGACGTAGTTCTGGAGATGTTCTCACCGCCAGGTGTCCCCAGGGCAAAAAACATGATATCCCATTTTTATTTTTTAAAAAAAAAACTCTGAAAAGGTGTAAATTGTTCAAGACATGAGTGAAAAATAATCTCTAGCATATCTCTGCGAGGACTGAGGGATGTGTTCGTGGTATGTTTGGGAAGGAGGTGCCCATTTGCTGACGTAGTGAGCAACACTAGTAAGATCGCAAATCGTAGACCTTGTGTTAATATAAATGGCAAACGTACAACTTACGGAGGCGGAAGGCTACAGGAACAGTTAGCGCGTGGATGGCGGACCTGGCACTATGAATTAGGACAGATGTCACCAAGTCTGAATAGTGTCCCACTCTTTTAAGCAAATATAGCCCACCCCCACGAAATGCGTTATACTGTTGTGTGAGTTACTTTCGGGCTTCGCTATTGAGGGAATTCTGCATAAGTGACTATGACCTGATATATCATGCAACTTTACCCTCCTTGGTAGTCGGTCTACGGAAGATGTTGGCGGCATGTACGCTGTCTGTCTTCGTAGCAGCAACTGATCCGTTACTTCCTCTGAGAAAGATTTAGCGGTTAGGCTGTCTCGGCACATATGCTTAGCAAAGATTTCACCGAGCACGACAAGCTCACATGAATGATGTCAAGGGTATTTGAGAAAACGCATGTTCTAACATAACCCTGGTTAGTGATTTGGCTGCAACCAGAGATACGATTAACTGAATCGGCTCCATCTACGTGGAAAGGCCCTGCTTCATGTTGCGTACCAGGTGGACAGTCAGTTATCAGCGGCGCACCTCGAGTTTGTGGGCCCTGGACCGTGAGGTGGCCTGCGCGCCTGACGAAAGAAAATCGATCGTGCTCGATGGATGACGCAGCTGGCAGATTTCGCCAGATGGCCGAATGCTGAATGCGAGTAGAGGCGCCCCTAGATGACCTTGGCAGCAGGTAGTCAGTGGCGTGCGACGTCGTTGAGCGTGTACGTACCTGAACAATGGCAGTGTCCCTAAAACCGCTCAAGCGGCAGATGCGCTGAAAAACATGCGGACTAGGTCGGGGTTTGTCTGGTGTTAATTGGAGACGTGCGTTCAGGGAATGTCAAAATTGGGTCCGACTTTCAGACATACGTAGACGTTTTCCTTGCTAGATATCCACATTTCCATTAAAAATATCAGTTACCGATGTCAGAAATGCCAGAGTCGGTGTAAAAACAAAAGGCTGTTTTATTACTTAAAACACGGGTAGATCGCCGTCAGTCAAAATTTGGACATATTTACTCGACAGATCATGAAACGAAGTGGGAGTATTTGCAGTGTGATCTTAGAGGAATTTCAGACTATGCATATTTCCCCCTCTGTTCGACCCCCAACTTCAATCTGCTGCTTTCCTTGTTCGAAAATGAACTTGAAAACTCAAGTGAGCATTACTTTCGCCTTAGTAATCGAGTGATTTTCCTCACAGTAAAATAACACTGTTAAGGAAACGCCAGTTCTGAAAATTAAGTGGAGGTGTCACGTTGGTCGGCCTGCAACGTGAGACGCCACTTGGGATTTCTGGTCGATAAAGTGCATTTTATGCTTTGACAATGGAGAGCCGATCAAGCTCTTCGGAAAGGCAGTATCTTAATAAACCTGTTCCGGTGAACCCATCTTCTTCTTATTCTTCAAATAACCAATCCGGATCTCTCAACTTTGTCAATCTGAACAGATCGGGGTCTGTTTGGCATTAATTGGAAAGGGGCACTCAGCAAATTTCAAAATTGTGTCGACTTCAGCCTGCCAGGAAAGCCGCGCTTCTAACAAAAATTTCAGTTTCCAAAGTCATAATATTGCCAAAGTCATTTTTGAGAAAAAATGATGATGTAAGTAATCGAAAAACAGCTAGATCATAAGCAGTCACAATTTAAACATATTTACTCGGGAAATCGTCAAACGAATCAAGAAAAGCTGCAATGAATGCGGGCTTCATCATTATGAACATGCGCATGATAGCATAGGAATTGCAGCTTATAAAAATTTCACCCTCTGTACGTCCACGACATCAGTCTGTTTCTCTCCTTCAGAAAAAAGAATCCGGAAAATCAAGTGAACATTATTTTCGCTCCAGCGGTCGAGTGAATATCCTCACACCAAAATTACTTTGTTAAGAATGCTTCACTTCTGAAAAATAAGTGGGTTCAGTCTCCGTTGCTCCTAAGCCTAACTGGTGGGATTCGAACCCACGACAGTCAAGAGAGGCTTTAGTACAGCCAACGTTCTAGCCACCTTAGATACGAGTCCCCACCGTACGACGCGAGCTGAACCACATCTAAATCAAGTTTACCCGTTCGATCTACTGCAACGTCTGAAATCCACCAAATCTGATACCGTAAGCTGTCTATTCAGGCATAATTTCCTAATTAATACATCTAAAGTCTTCCAGACGGCCACCGGTCTCACGTAAATTATAGGTGTTATGACAGATACGATTAGTGTAGCGTCGTCCGGTGGAGCCTCTTAGGTCAGTTGGCTAGAGCGTTGGCTGTACTAAGGCTTCCCCATGGTGTCATATGTTCAGACCCCATCGAGACGCCGAGTACTTCATATGCGTGTCAAAATGACTCGTGAGTGTACTTGAGTTTCATATGGCAATATCGACAATAGTCGGCCAAGCTGCAATAGGCTCGCATTGCGAAGAAAAATAAACAGATATGGATTATTTGACATAGTTAAACCATTGGTGTCGTGGGTTCAAATTGCACCATGGCACCGAGGTCTAACAATTCGATCAACATGAATGCGTGGGACGTTAGGAAATATATTCTGTAAACTGAAGGGGCTCTCGGTTCTGACGTATAGGCAACTTAAGACTATACAGGGGTTATAAATTTAGGTACAAATGTTGCACTCATTGCATTAGGGCTCCTGTCCTCATTATTCACAAACCAAGTGACAGACGTGAGCAGATCACGCCACTTCAGGTGCATGGATTTGCACTAAAATCTACTGATCCGATGCGGAGGGAGGAAGTTGGCTGGGTGGTGTTTCGTATGTGCAGTTTGCAGGCGCCCTCGTGTTGCGTGCTAACAGGGGGGCATTGACCTCCGTGAAAGAAGAGGATGACGCAATCTCTACTCAATCTTCTCTTCAGTCTCGCAGCGACTGCCACCCTGAACTACACCAGCCCTTCGCCTAAGCTAAATGTAGCCACAGGTGATCAAGATGGTGATTGGGAATCGCCGTCTTTCAGCTGCTGTACGTCAAGCATAGTCTGCTGTAGAGAGTGTTTTCGATCAGAGTTAGGCAAACACCAGACAAAATCGAACTGATGTAAACTGCACTAGGTTCTGTAAAATACCCGCTTCTGTTTTCATCTTGGGGGTTATAAACGACGGTGGCGTAAGTAACAGAATGAGAGCCAGAAAGATAAATTCAGATGATGCGTCAGCTCCATGGTGGCATGAAGGCGCGATTAACAGACAATAGGACCTGACAGGAGATATCAAGAAAAATGACACCCAGATAAGCCGCATATTGACTTGTTGTCTTTGCACGCTCACAATCTCCATTCCAGCAATGAGCAAGATTAAAGGCTAGACAAGCTTCCAGTCGCTGTCGCCACCGCCACCGCCGACCCCGAAGCCACTGCCGAGAACGCCTCCGTGGAGAACCGATGGTGTCAACAGCGAGACACGGTCCAGTCGACCGCTCTAACAGACTTCGGCCACGCACGCAGACAGGGAGGCGTTCTCGGCAGCGGCGTCGTCGGCAGCGATCCGAAGGTTGTCTAGCCGTTGAGCTAGCTCATTGCTGAAATGAAGATGGTGAGCGGGCAAAGACAACAAGGCAACATTCAGCTTACCTGGGGGTCGCTTACCTTGTGGTCTCCTGCGAGGCTGTAGGCGAATACGCATCTTCGAGATGACGAGGCGATGGTCGGTCCACCCGTCAGCACCCGCAATCGCCTTCGTCACCAGCACGTCCCGCTGGCCACGCCTCCGGACGAGAACATAGTCCAGCAGGTGCCACTGACGCGACCGAGGATGCCTCCAGGTGGCCTTCTCTCGCTCCGGCAGACAGAAGAACGTGTTTGTCAGGATGAGGCGGTGTTCTGCGCAGGTGCGGAGGAGCAGCAGGCCGTTGTCGTTGGAGTCGCGGAGACCATGGGGACCCAGCACTCCTCTCCAGGCAGTATGGTCTGTGCCGACGCGGGCGTTGAAGTCACCAAGGACAATCAACTTGTCCGCCTTCGACACGGTCGCCAGGAGTGCGTGCAGGTCCTCGTAGAATTTGTCTCTCGCGGCGACGTCCGGGCTGCTCATCGGCGGGGCGTAGACGCTGATGATGGTGGCGAATGTGTCCCCACGCCTGCCCCTGCGGAGAAACAGACGGCGGCTCATCAGTCGATCGTTGATTCCCTGCGGTAGACAGGGCAGTCGTCCCACGATGTCGTTCCGGATGGCGAAGGCGACGCCCGCGTCTCGTCGCTCTGCCCTGGGTCAACCACTCCAGAAGAAGGTGTAGCCGGCACCCACCTCCTCCAGTTGGCCTTGCTCGGAGAATCGGGTCTCGCCGAGTGCGGCGATGTCCACCTTGTAGCGCGTCAGTTCTCGTGCCACTAGCGCCATCCTCCGTTCCGGTCGGTTGCTCCTCGGATTGTCTAAAAGGGAACGAACATTCCAGGCTGCCAGAGTGAGCGGGCTCACCCTTTCAGTCTGGGGACAACGAGTGGGGCGACGAGAAGGAGGTGGAGAAGAAGATAACGAAGGAAAAGAATAGGCAGAAGAATAGACGGAGGAAGGTGAAGAAGAGTTAGGATGAGGAGAATGTTTGCTATTGTTATTGGTATTGTTGTTGTTTCGATTTCGATTGTTTCGACCATGTTTAGTCGTCTGCGGCCGTGGCTAGCCTGGAAACGGCGTGGTGCACAGCAATGTTTAGGCCACATTTTCTAGGCCCTTCCCCTCGATGGGGCTGGCAGTGCCGCCCCTGTATCGGGCTGCCGATTTGCCTGGTTGGCGCGACCGTATCGCACTATGGGGCCACGAATTTTATGTTTGTAGTGGAGAACGGCCGCATATGCCGTTAGTCCAACTGCGTACCAGGCAGAGCCTAGTCTCGTCGATTGCGGCGCAGTGTTTCATCCGACCATCCGTCCAGCGGAGTCCGCAGTACACTGTGCACGCGGCACAAGCGCACAGCGCCCTCACCTGGTTTAGCCCGCCGGTCAAGGCAGTTGCCCGAGTTTGGCCGCAGGGCAGAGTCCAGCAACGTGAAGCCACATGTGAGAGTTGGTTGACAGCAAATGGACGCTAGGCGTCCTCTCACCTGCAAGCAAGTGAGCAACCACTACGACCCTCACGTGAACCCACCGCTGGACACCCCTAAATCCCACACACTCACACACACACAGGTTGGTGATCCAGGCACTGGTTCGCCAGTCTCTGTGCGAAGGAATCGCAAGTGACCGACAAGGCCGATGCGTGAGGTGAGTGTACGTGGACAGTGAGGACATGAGAAGTCGGCGGTGTCAACGTCAGCTACGGAGGAGTCCGTGATGGTGGTGGTG